TCCCATTAACTCCACGCAGCTCTTGTTCCACAGTAACTGCAGCCAAACAGGCTGAGTCACTGGGACCAACACTCTTTGTACCATTCCCAGAGATTTGTTGTCTGGCTTAGCAGAAGGCCCCCTAGATTGCCGTGACCTGGCTAGTCGCCGGGGCTGGGAGTGATGCGATTACTTCTCCAGAGGTAAGCAGGTTCCTCTGGGAGGAAGAAGCAACACTTCCAGAACTTGGAGTGAGTAGGTCGGTGGGCATCAAGGTCTTGTGGGGCTGTGACACGTGCCTGCCCTCAGCTCTGTGTGACCACTGGGCAGCCAGCCAGCGTGCATCTATTCACGGGTAAATGGACCTACTAAAAATAAGCAGGCAGCTATTTCATTCCAACAGATTCAAAATAGCCAAGTCTCCTCCCCACCAGCCCTGAGCCAGGGCTCTGCATCCTTTTCCCCGACCGGAGGCAAGCCTGCCTGACAGCCCTGGGCCTTGGGAGTGGGGCGGGGGCACATTCAGTTAGCTGGTGAGTGTGAAGATTTTTAGGTCCACAGTGTTAAATGCCACTTATATTTTGAGAAGTTCAGGTTTAAAAAAAAAAAAAAAAAGGAGAAGAGGGCAGAGAGAGCCACCCAACAGCCTGGGGACAGAAGGCCGAGCCTGGTAAGGCTGCAGTGTGTGCGGCACGTGGAGGCGGCCCCGTCTGAGCACTCAGGGGAGGTCGGCACATCCTGTGCCGCCAGCCCCGGCCTCGTGTCCGCACAGAGCAGGGAGGGCACCTTGCCCGTTCACAGGAAGTCTGCTGAGGGAGGTGAGATGGGCGGGCAGGCTTCTAGGAACTGAGGGCTAAGGAAGTGGGGGACTTTGCTTGCCTGGTGAGAAGTGGGGCTTCAGTCAGCTGGAGCTCCCTGGGAGGTGCCTCAGTGACACCCACCAGGCTCTCGCCTTACCTTTGGGTGGGCGACTGTTGATTCCGGGGGCTCTTGGCCCCGTGTTTGGTGGAGGTGGCTCCTATCTAACCACAGTCCCCTGGTGGCAAGGAAAAAATAACAAACCGTTCATCCCGAGGGCTCTGGGTCTCATACCTCTCATCTCAAGTGCCTGGAGCACCGCAGTTCTGTCCAGGGCAGTTTCTGTCCTTGGAGGCTTTGCCTGCAGGAGTCCTGGCCACCGCTCCTTCCTCAGCAGAGGGTCTCGTCCCGCGTGTGGGACAGGGCTCTGGGGGCCAGGCGGCATGTGCCAGGAAGCAGTATTAGATGCCTTCTAGGAGGCCTTCCTGGCCCACGACAGGGAGTCTGGCTGGGAAACCGTGCGGGAGTTTCCTCAGCTGTGATTGGCAGAGGGGCTACGATTCCCGTCTTCGGGGCTGTTGATGGCAGGTCTGGGGCGTAGAGCCTCAGTCTGGGAACAGACTGGGCTGGGGGGCTAGGTGGGGAGAGGTAGGCGGCAGGCAGGGAGGGCAGGCAGGGAGATCCCAGTGTGGTGGCCCCAGGTGCTGGTTCTGGGTTTAGTGTGAACTGGGACTGGGAGCAGAACACAGGAAGTGGGGGGAGGCCAGTGACATGGTGGGCCAGGGTCTGGGTTCTGGGGTGCAGGACCAAAGCCAGACTGAAATATAAGGTACGTGCTGGGCTTCTGCCTCCTGGCCAACTTCTGCAGTCTCCAGTGGTGGGGTGGGATCAACTGCTGGATCCCTTGGATCAACTGTCCGTTCCAAATTGGGGAGAGGGGGGCTCCCAGTGTTTTGAAAGACAGTTTGTGTCTTAGATAGCAACTCCCCCCTTAAACATACTTGCCCCAGTTGAGTTTGTGGCCTTGGGCCCTTGGCGGCAAAGTGGGAAACCGCCACCAGTGGGTTATTAGGACATAGGGTTCTTGTTCTTCCTCTGCTCCATCCATTTCATCTTTTCCTGAATCAGAATCGCCAGTATACTCTGGGGATCGTAACTATACACCCTGCCGAAGTAGGGTTGTCTAGTTAATAAGGAATCAGAATCCAAGTCTACTGACAATAAAAAACCTGGGTTCAGACCCCAGCCCAACTTCCTGTTGCGTGTGACCTGCGGGGTGGGACTTGATCCCCTGACAACAGGCTGGGTCTCCTGTAAGCTACCTTACCTGAGAGCACCCTTCCCCCATAGCCTCTTTTCCTTCTCGAAGTTTATTTATTTTTATGTGGAAGATGTTGAACACAAAGCAAATATCCCATATCTACATTTTCTGGGCGTGTGCAGGTTGTTACAGAATAGCGACTCTCCAGCTCGACTGCACATGCGTCACCTTGGTTAACAAACTTCTCCCCGATCTTACCCTCAGAGTCCGATTGAACTGATTGGGATGCCGTCTGGGATTTTAAAAGCACCCCAAGTGATGTTAATGTGCAGCCAAATTGGCAAACCACTGAGGGAGAAACTATAAAAGACCTCTCTTCCCAAAGGGAGGAAGACTATTCATTTTCACTAAGGTCCCAGCTTTTTCATGGGGTTGTGTGGACACAGATCTCACGTGCACACGGTGGTCCGGCGCTGTTATCCAGCCTCAGGGCGGCGTGAGACCAGCCTCCTCCTCCAGCACTGTTTGTCCCTGGATCCTGCCGTATAGTAAAAGTCAATATCATTTGATTTTGTTTCAAATGATACCCCAGTGAGCCTTCTTATATAGACTTCTGCCTATGCAGAGTTTTTAAAAATTTTATGTATTTATTTTCAAAAGAGTCCAGATGTGGGAATTTGGGGGTCATAGGATGTGGTCATAAAATTCCTTTTTTTCTTTAATCCTGTCCTGAGGACTTTTTTTCATTTATCGTCAGATAGAGTGGGAGGGAGAGAGGGGGAAGAGAGAGAAACATCGATTTGGGAGAGACACATTGACTGGTCGCCACTCACATGACCCCAACCGGGGCCGGGGACGAACTGCAGCCGAGGTACGTGCCCTTAGCGGGAACCGAACCCGGGACTCTCCGGTCCACCGGCTGACACTAACCGCTGAGCCAAACTGGCCAGGGCGGTCATAAAGTTCTAAGAGCAGTATGAACCTCCCCTTTCCTTGGCCCACAGTTCATTAATTAGTGGATTCCGGATTTAATGTGCAGTAGCACGGGAGTTGTGCGGTGCTGTAATCTTGAGTTCTTTAAACCTCCAAGATGGTAATACATTTCTTTTTTATTTATTTATTTTTAATGGATAGTAATACATTTCAGCCAGGTGATTGAAGAGTAGGTGACGGCAGGGAAAGTCTCTGGTGAGGTTCCTCATCTGCAGCTGCAGCCGTGGGCAGCACCGGGAGCTTTCCCCGCGGGGTCAGTGCAGCGCCTCTGAGCCCTGGCTGCTGCGCTCCGCTGTGTTCTCCAGCTCCACTGCTTCGTCCTCACATCGTAGCAGGAAGGTGTAGCTTTAAAGATAAGGGACTTTCTGGAGGGGACCTCCTCCCCACCCCTCCCCCACCTCCATCACTGAGAGCAGCGGTTCTCAACCTGTGAGTCGTGATCCCTTTGGGGGTCAAACGACCCTTTCACAGGAGTCGCCTAAAACAATCGGAACACACATATTTCCGATGGCAATTCATAACAGTAGCAAAATTATAGTTATGAAGTAGCGACGAAAATAATGTTATGGTTGGGGCCACCACAACATGAGGAGCTGTATGAAAGGGTCACGGCGTCAGGAAGGTGGAGAACCACTGCCTTAGAGAAGCACTTTTCCTGGCACCTTTACAGACGTGCTTGTGACTTCTCTGGGAGGCTTGTTAAAGGGCAGCTTGTGATGCAGGAGGTCTGAAGGGGTGGAACTGGGATACTGTATTTCTAGCAGGTTCCCAGGTCATGCTTGATGCTTCTTGCCCACAGACTGCACTTTGAGAAGCAAAGTCCTGGAGCAGTGTTTCCAGCCTCGACTGGTCATCAGGCTCCTTTGGGGAGCTGTATGCTCTGCTTTGCCAGAAAACATTTAGATAGGTAGATACAACCAGTGAGAGTTGGTAAAGCATTTACAACTAAGCACAAACCCAAATTAAGATGTAATTCACCACATCAGTGCAGGGTTTGGAGTTTTACAAAGACTTCGAATTTTTGCATACAGAATAAAATTTGCTGGCATGGGAGGCACTTAAAATAAGCATTCTAGAATACGTCTGTCACACACCTCTAATGAGAGCTAACCCTGATCTGCAAAGCACTTACTGAGTGTCTCCGCTAGTCCTTATACCAGTCATCCTGTATGTCCGTCACCTTACAGATGGAAAAAATTTAGTTTCCTCTCTCCTTTACGTCTCTCCTGCCTTCTAGGCCCTTATCATTTCTCTTTCCCTGGCTCTAACTGACCCAGGTCTCCATGTTCTCCTGCTCCCCAGACCACCTGCAAACCCGGTTTGGTGTGTCTGCCTTCTACACCTGTGCTGGTTCTCTGCTGTCTACAAGATAAAGTCAAGACTGCAGCAGAGTCCCAGGACTTGATTCTCCAAACGTGACCCATGTCTCCTGGGTGTGTTTTGCTGGTCCCTCACCCTGGAGCGTTTCCCTATCTTTTTTGTTCTCTTACTCCTTAGCTCTGGCTCTCCCTGCTGTGTAACTAATGTTTCATTGACTCATGGTTTTGTGGGTATATATGAGGGATATAAGTACATGTGGATTCCATGGATGTTTAAAAATATCTCCTACACCACCTGAATAGATAAGATTTCTGGGAGGTTAGAGAACTAAAACACTACACATAACCAGCTCCTTGGGGACCAGAGGGAGAATTTGGCATTGAGAAGTGATGAAGGAAAGGATCTGTTCAAGAGGAGGCTCAGCTTGTTTCAAGGGAGTGTGAGTGGATGAGGGGTAGCAGGGGTTGTCTCTTCCTGTCCACCCACCTCCAGGGGCTCACCCAGATGTGGGTGTGTGTGGGGTACCCCTTTCAGGGGCAGGGAGAGGGAGAACCAGCAGCTCTGTTTTACCGGTTGATTGTCTGTCTCATGCAGTCTGTCAGGATCCTCTTACCGGCTCTCATAGCATCTCTCTCTCTCCTGCTCCCAGGTCTAACTGCTGCAAGCCTCCAGGATGGCCATCCAATTCCGCTCACTTTTCCCCTTGGCCTTGCCTGGAATGCTTGCACTCCTTGGCTGGTGGTGGTTTTTCTCTCGTAAAAAAGAGCACATCGGCAGCCATGACAATCAGGTGGAGGCCAGCGCTGTGGAGCTGAGGGCCGACCCTGCCATCGAGGACCGGGCCCTTGTGGAAGATGCCTATCCTGCAGTGGTGTGCTCGCCCCCCAGCGTCAGATCGCCGGCTGAAAAGGAGCTGGCCGCTGTGAGCCCGCCTTCCAAAGAGCCTCCAGCCTCGCTGCGGGAACACACAGCCTGCCGTAGATCAGAGTCTTCTGGCAGCCGCTCCAGTACCACGGACACGAGGTTTCGACCTGGGACATGCAAAGATGACAGTGCGAGAGTGAAAGCAGCCCAGATGGGCGATGAGGCCAGGCCCGTCCCTCCAGAGTGCTCCCTCCCATCCCCAAAGGCTGTTCGGTCCCCCCATGAAGCAGCTGAGGTGTGCAGGTCTGAGGCAGGGCGGGGCCCGCAAGGCCGGTCTGCAGCCTTCGCAGAGAAGCATGGCCCCGGGGAGAAGGCGAGAGAGATGGGAGCTGAAGGCACTGGCGATACAGCGTTGGGAGAAGGTGTGCTGGAAGAAGGTGTGTTGTCCCCGGAGCGGGGCTCTGCATTGCAGAGCAGCAAGGTGCCCAGTCTGGCCCCCTTGGGAGGAGGCGGGGAGGAAGGGAAGAGCAGCCTCCCTCAGGCGGAGGGGGCCCCAGCAGGGACGTTGCTGAGTAGCTTCACCGAATCGGCTCCCGTGGAGCGGGCCAAGGGTGATGAAACACCAGCACCCCGGGTCAGAGGTGGCCGAGCCGGGGACGGAGAACTGAGCAAAGAGGAGGCCTTGGATGAAAATGAGGAGATTGAGCAGGCTGCCTTCCAGATCATCTCCAAAGTGATCTCGAATGCGACTGAAGAAGTGCTGGCTGCCACCATGGGCAAGGTTGCAGGCTGCACGTATCAGGCCTCAGCCGGTCAGCTCCAAGGGAAGGGAGAGGAGAGCCGTGCCCCACTCTGCCAGAAAACTGCCCTCGGGCCACATGCCGCAGAGCCCACCCGGGCCACAGTGGAGGCGGCCACAGTGGAGTCAGCCTTGGGCCCATCGGACGCTGCCCTCCCCTCACCAGGCCTGCCAGGAGAGGACCTGCCACCACCAAAGACCTATGTGAGCTGCCTGACCAGCCCTCTGTCCAGCCCCACTAAGGACATGAAGCCAAAGAACTCTGTGCACCACATCTCCCTGGCCTCCTGCCCGCCACCACCCACCCCCCTTGGGGAGTCACTGGAAAACACAAGCATCCTGGTGGGAGATGCCGGCTGTGTCACCTGCATGTCTGACGACAGCCAGGGTGTCCCTTCAGTGTCCTCCTCCGGGCAGTGCTCCGACTCCCTCAGCACTTCAGGGCTCGAAGACTCTTGTACAGAGACCAACTCAAGCCCCAGGGAGAAGGCCACCACCTCACCACTGCCGCAAAGTACTGTGCCCTTCAGCAATGGAGTGCTGAAGGAGGAGTTGTCAGATTTGGGGACTGAGGACGGATGGACCATGGATGCAGAAGCAGATCATTCGGGAGGTAGGACGGTCTGGGGTGTCCTCACTCAGAGGACCGGGGTCTCCCTTACACAGTGGGAAAGGCCACAGGTCTGCCTCTGCCACTTCTGCAGTAACGGTGCTTGTCGCCTCTGTCCCAGCTGGCCTGTGGGGTCGGCACAGCGCGGGGCTGGTGGGAGACCACGGGTAGGCTGCCTTGAACCCAAAGCCACAGGAGCTGCCACTTGATTTGGCAGCCAGTGACCCTCCCCAGCCCATCTGACGGAACCAGATCAAAGTTGGGTTCCCCGAGTAACCTAAGTGTGCCTCTTCTTCTCTTTTAAACAGTGACCTGTTAATATTTTTTATTTTTTTTAAATGGAGAGAGGCCTCCTTAGCTTTTAATTCCTTTGAGTACTGAGAATGGGTTTGAGCTTTTTTCATGGTTTATTTCCTTTTAACCCTTTACTGTTCCCATGTCTTCACCTGCTTTCCTTCTCCAGAAGTTCTCCCCTGGTAAGTGCCCAGAGGCTGGCCCCAGCTTTGCATATTCGTGGGGGCTCGCGCTGTCCTGTGTTGCCATCGCCTGTTCCTCCACAGGGCGCCTCAGCCATTTTTTTTCTGTGCAGCTGCAGGTTCAACCCCCGGGAAAGAGGGGCACTTTGGTAACGAAGTGTCTACTGGGTTTTTCGAGTGCTGACCCCAGCGTAGACAGTTCTGACCGCTAATCTCCAGGTCAGCAGCTCCTGACCCTGTTTCTGCAGCTACCCTGGGGTATTTTCATTGATCACGTGGGAAGAGGCTGCAGAGTCTCTGGGAGTCTCTGCGTGGTCTCTGACTTGCTTGCCCTGGAGCCTTTTTCTATCATTTCAGCTCCAGGAAGGTTGGGGATCTTTCTTGGTGACTCAGCACTTGCAGCAGCACCTGGTGTGCACCACACATTGCATTTTGCGACCTCTAAATGCTATTGATGATGACACTACTGTTTTTTTGTTCCTCAGAAAGGAAAAGTGCTGCTGATCATGAGTGTAGAAGGCCACACTGTAAGATGCACCCTAACTTTAGGGATGTTAAAAGGTGGGGTTTTTTAAAAAGCATCTTAAAATAGGTGAAAAGTCTTTTAAGAATAAAGGGGTTTCCCTCTGCCTCTTGCCCCGAGGTTAGTTAACAAGCCCTCCGGCCTTGTCATGCCAGCTCTGCTCAGATGTGTTGAAGGCTTCTGAGTTTAGGCCTCGATGAAGAGGAGGCTGTGGCTGAGCATGGTGGCGGATGGGGGCGGGGGGCATGTGGGGTCGTACCAGTCACTGAGCACTCAGTGGTGCCAAGCTCCAGGCTGTGTCTTCCCGCATTCTCGTGGTGGCCCTGCCGTGTGTGTGAGGGAGCTGGAAGCTGGCGTCTGGGTGCAGCCTGCTGGAGTCCTGGCGTGGTCTGAGCCACCTCTGGGTACCATCAGGGTGGAAGGCGCCATCCATCCTGCTCTGTCGGGTAGAGGTTGGGGCCCCTAGTGTTAACGGGGCCCCTAGTGTTTGAAGGTGACTTAGCTGGGAGGAATCTCTTAAGCTTTACTCCTCATGGGTTGCTTGGGGAAGGATTATGCCCAGGGTTTGGAGAAATCAGTGCAAGATAACCAAATTAATAGACTCTCAGGAGTCATCTGTTTCTGGCAATTGAGTTGTCAGTATTTAAACGGGAGCTGCTCTCTTAAGCGGGTTTGGTCCCCTATTTTTCTTTGATGGTACCCTTGGCACACTCTTGGTTAAGAGTGGAGCAGCCCAAGTTGGTGCCAGACTCCGGCTGCCCACTCTGTCCTCTTGGGAGTGAGCTTTAGCTCAGCCTTGGACCAGGGGTTAAAGACCCTCCATGAGCCCAGAAGAGCTTCAGAGTGGCACAAGTCAGGCCTAAGCAGAGGAGAAGGAGGGGCTTCTTCCTGAGTCTACGGCTGGCAGGGCCTGATTGGAAATAAGAATAGGGTCCTGCCCTGGCCGGTTTGGCTCAGAGGTTGGAGTGTCGGCCTGCGGTACAGAGAGACCCGGGTTCGGTTCCCGCTAAGGGCACGTACCTCGGTTGCAGTTTGTCCCCGGCCCTGGTTGGTCATGCGGGTGGCAGCCACTCGATGTGTCCCTTTCACATCGATGTTTCTCTCTCTCTCTCTTCCTCTCTCTCCCTCCCGCTCTATCTGAACAAAAAATGGAAAAATGTCCTTGGGTGAGGATAAAAAAAAAAAAAAAAGAGGGTCCTCAGACAAACCATCGAGGGGGGTACTCTTTCTAGCTCTGCTTGGCTGAAGGCCAATGACTGTGAGCCCAGGCCAGGGGCCTTGGGACCTGGGACCCTTGGTCCGAGGGAGGGGCTGGCATTGTCCGGAGGATACGGACTGGTTGTGACCAATTAATCTCCGTGGAGGCCTGCATCTAATACCCGTGTCCTGGGACCATGTGGACCTGTTGGCCTATCCCCTCCCCCATCCCTGTGGACTGCCCCTTCCTGGTCCAGTGTCTGTTTCTTCCCAGTTCACCACTTGTCTGCTCCAGCAGCTGTGGCTGGGTGCAGCTGCCAATTAAGCAAGTTGGACTGTAAGAGACAGGCTAAAATTAGGTGTATCTACACCCCCAGCCCTCCTTTCATTGGGGTTGTTCTGAGCCTTCTAGACTTCGAGTTGACAGTCACCTGCCAAGCTTGAGGAGGGGGCGGGGGCGGGGGCCTCCCAGGAGGTGAGCTTGGGAGTTGCGTTGTTAATTGCTCTGAGCTGGTGTCTGGGTGTCTGCATGCTGCTCCTTCCCCTGCAGGTTCGGACGGGAACAGCATGGATTCAGTGGATGGCTGCTGTGGCCTCAGGAAGACAGACAGTTTCCAGAAGGCCCAGGCAGGCTCCAATCCTAAGAAGGTCGACCTCATCATCTGGGAGATCGAGGTACCAAAGGTAAGGGCTGCAAGCTCAAAGTGCCCCTGGGCCCAGGGCATCTGACCGAGGGGGCGGATCCACAGGAGGGACAGTCAGCCAGGTGGAGCTCCTGAGTGAGCCCAAGGCTGAAGGGAAAGGGACGCTTGCTCCACTGCTGAGGTTCAGGGAGCTTCCTGCAAGATGGAGTTTCTCCAGCTGCCTTTGGAGCGTCCTATTCTTGTCCTCTTCGAACTCCCAGGCCAGCTAACCTCCCCTGGGCTTTTCTTGTGTGTCCCAGGGCTCAGATCTGTTGGGAGATGCTAACAAAACCAGATCGAGGACATGGGCCAGCCAGGAGCCCTTCACTGTGCTCTGCGCAAGCTCTTCAATGCAAAGTGTTTTATAATCGAGCACGGCATAAATCCATGTTTTAGAAAACTTGGGAAGTATAGAAATGTATGGAGAAAATAAAAATCAGGTCTAATTCTACCCTCGAGAGTGACTAGGGAGACTTCCTTCTTGTCTTGTGTGTACTGTGGTTTTTAAACAAAACTGAGATTATGTTGCTTTAATTAATGCTTTTAAATATTAAACAATTTAATTTTCCCGTGCTACTCTTTGAAAATATAATTTTAAGCACATTATTCATTGTGGGAATGTCAATTTACTTCACCAGTCTCCTATTCCAGGGTGCTTACGTGGTTTCTAGCTTTTTGCTGTTCTAACTTACAACTTATTAGCTTGGTCTTGATATTTATCACTGGGGCTCAGAAATAATTGGCTGACTGACTGCATTCTCCCTGGGCATTTAGCTCCCTGCTGTGTGGAGACTTCCCTGGCTTTGAACTCTGGGTCAGGTCGTCTTGGACCCCGGGTGCTGGCTCCCTTGGTGGTTTCCTCCCCAGTGACCCTGATAGCCACCGTGCCCTCTTCTCCTTCGGTGGCTGCAGAGGGCATACCCAGGCACTGGGGGACCAGGTCCTTAGCAGCTCCACGGGGGTGGGGCGTTTGGGATGGATTCAGAGCTTGTCTTACATCATGGCTAAGTTTGGCTGTGTCTGCCTGTCTTGGACTCTGGTGTGCAGGGCATTCTGCGAGCTTCGCTCCGAAGGCTCCAGCCTGCTGTCAGTTGGCAGCAGGAGCCCAAAGGTTCTTTCTTAGACCTTTATTTTCTTTTTTTTTATCCTCACCTGGGGACATTTTTCCATTTTTTGTTCAAGTAGAGTGGGAGGGAGAGAGAGGAACAGAGAGAGAGAGAGAGAAACATCGATGTGAAAGGAACACATCGAGTGGCTGCCACCCACACAACCGACCAGGGCCGGGGACAAACTGCAACCGAGGTACATGCCCTTAGCAGGAACCGAACCCGGGTCTCTCCGGACCGCAGGCCGACGCTCTAACCGCTGAGCCAAACCGGCCAGGGCTAGACCTTTATTTTCAAATCAAGACCCTTTATCTTTGGTCCTGAGTGGACTTGAGGAGGAAGAGTTGTAAATCAACCCTTGTGCTGGCGAAACATCTCATAGTCTGGATCTGGGAGGAGGAGATGCTGCCTTTGCAGCTTTCTGCATTGGGGCCACACTGTCAGCACGAGATGGGGACTGCTGGGTCCTGGAGCCCGGCTCTGTAGCGCCGCTGCCTAGTGGCTGTGTGACGGTGCCAGTTCCTGAGCCTCCCTGGCCTTGTTTTTCTCATCTGTGAAATGGTGATAAGAAAGGTGTCCATTTCATGAGCACTATGAGTAGATGCAAAGCCTAGAAGGTTCCAGGGACAGGAGCGCTGATATGGTAACGGCCAAAACATGTTTGAAGTGGACCGTGTGTAAAACAAAGGCAGGCCTTTGGGAGTGTAGGGAATTGGTTTCCCATTAACCAACTCTCTCTGTCTCAGCACTTAGTAGGCCGGCTAATCGGCAAGCAGGGGCGGTATGTGAGTTTCCTGAAGCAGACGTCTGGTGCCAAGATCTACATCTCCACCTTGCCTTACACCCAGAACGTCCAGATCTGCCACATCGAAGGTCAGTGGGCTGCAAGCCCCTTTAGATGCCTTTCTTCCTAAGGAAACATTTAGCACCTTAAAGGTGCACTTGAACTCCAGAAGTTCTGTGGAAGGGGTGTGGTTGGCTGCGTGTGTGCCCCACTGTGACTGCCTTCCTCCCTCATGTAGGCTCTCAGCATCATGTAGACAAGGCGCTGAACTTGATTGGGAAGAAGTTCAAGGAACTGAACCTCACCAATATCTACGCTCCCCCACTGCCTTCTCTGGCACTGCCTTCTCTTCCAATGACTTCTTGGGTGAGCATGCTCCAGGGGGACCAGGACTTCTTGTGCCCCTTTTCCCCCCAACTCGTCCCAAACAACAAACTCCCAAGACCACAGCCAAGAGCTCACTGATACCTGTGCCCTCTAAGCTCTGGCCTCTACTGGTCAGTTCTGCTTCTAGCCTGTGTCCTCTGGGGAAGGGTTAGGGGCTGGAGTGCTGGTAAGAAGCCAGAGGCCTCTTGGGCCCTGGTTGGAAGGGCCACTCTCCTCTGGCTCTGCCACCTAGCTACCCTTTGTGTCCAAGGCATTTGCCTGGAAAGGACTGTAGCCCACCCAGGGCACTGGGTGGGACTCCTTGAAGCTGGAGCTGTGTCTGGATGGGGCTCACTGCTGTGGGCGTGAGTGGGCTTGTAATGGCTCATTCTTTACTCCTGGTTGAGGCAGGTCTGGTGGTGGCCCTGGTGAAGGATTCCCTTCCCCAGCCTGCTTCCCAGGAGGAACCTGGAGAAGCAGTAACTCCCGCCAGGCTTAGGAAGCCAGGTAGCTCTTTGGAGATTGCCTTGGGAGTTTGGCAAGAGGAGGAGTTGACATCTTGGGGGCCCCTGTGTCCTGGGGGATTGCAGGGTCTCTGGGGCCTGTTTGGACCTCATCCCACTGAGGCTATAGTCATGCACCACCTAGTGACAGGGATACATCTGAGAACGGGGTCATTAGGTGATTTCGTCGTCCTGTGAATACAGAGTATAATCACACAACCTAGATGGCACAGCCTACTCCCCACCTGACTGTGTGAGACACGCCCATTGCTCACGCATTCTTTCCTTGACCAGAGATTGTTATGACGTGCACGGCTGGGCTGCATTTCACACGTGGCTCAGCACGCTGCCTGCCCGGCGTTTGTTTAGGACAGTGGACTTTTTGGTTCTGTATCCTGCCCCCTCCAGAGACCCTTGTGCCTTGGGGAACGAGGTGGATGCCCCCTTTCTTTCCCGTGGATATTTGGAAGTGGGCTGAACCTCACTCCACGCTTCACTTCTGTCAGGAGGCTTGGCCCCAGACCCATGCTTTATTTTTAGATAATTGAGTGGTTGGTGTGGCTTCCTTCCCCTGTTCTGTGTGGGCCTGGAGGGGTGGAGGCCAGGACTCTTAGCCAGGGCCTCACATGCCACCTGGCTGGAAGGTGGACGAGATGCCCTGCTGTGTCCAGAGCACGGACGTTTCCTGTAGCTTCGCCTCGGGAAAGCTACATCTAAGGACAGTTCTTTCAGAGACTAGTCTTGGCCTCTTCCAGGGCCTTTAAGGTGGGGCCTGGCCACAGAGCAAACCTGCATTCCGAATCCCAGCGTGGAGTGAGTTGGGAGGATGTCAGTGTAGCCTAGAGAAGAGCAGACATGACCCAGGCTGTTGCAGATTTGACAGCGGACCCTTGATGGCAGAAAGGCAGAGAGATGCTGTCAAACCTGAAGCTCATGGGGTCAGCTGCAGGCCCAGAGGAGCTGGCTGAGGGGCCTGAGGGTCTGCCTGCCTTGGCACCTTGTTCCCTGTGGCTGCCTCATTCTTTTCTTTTTTCTTTTTTTTTAATATATTAAAAAACCCTAATGTGTATATATATATTTTTTAATCTTCACCTGAGGACATTTTTGCATTTATCTTCAGATAGAGCGGGAGGGAGAGAGGGCGGTAGAGAGAGAGAGAGAAACATCGACATGAGAGAGACACATCAAGTGGTTGCCACCACATGACCCCAACCAGGGCTGGGGATAAACTGCAACCCAGGTACTTGCCCTTAGGGGGAACCGAACCTGGGACTCTCCGGTCTGCGGGCCGACGCTCTAACCATGAAGCCAAACGAAGCCAAACCGGCCAGGGCGGCTACCTCATTCTTGTTGACCTTTTCTGGGTCTTACAGACTCAAGAATGGGGAGTGGGGCAGGGGGGACTCTGGCAGATGGACCTTGCCCAGGTCAGTGGGAGGCCCCAGTATCTCCACAGCCTGCATATGTGAGCCTCCCTGCCCAGCCCTGTGTGAGGGCACCTCTAGCGGTCACTCTTGGTATGGCAGGACAAGGGCCACCGCGGTGTCCAAACATTTGACCTGCTAAAGTAGTTTTCCTTGAACCCCTGCCATTTGGGTGCCAGGCTCTTTTCATGGAGGTGGCAGTTCGGAGACTTTCCCTGGGGCCTCGGGGCTTAAGCCAAGGTGAGAAGAGGAAGATTACTGCAGCGCCTGCTTCCCCTTTCTCCACAGCTCATGCTCCCGGATGGCATCACCGTAGAGGTGATCGTGGTCAACCAGGTCAACGCTGGGCACCTGTTTGTGCAGCAGCACACGCACCCTACCTTCCACGCACTGCGCAGCCTAGACCAGCAGATGTACCTCTGCTACTCTCAGCCTGGAATCCCCACCTTGCCCACCCCGGTGGAAAGTAAGTGCTGTCCTGGAGGCCGGCGGGCGCCCTGGGCTTTGGCTGGCCAGGAAAGACGTTTTGAGGGTGGCCTGTGCTGCCTGTGGTCTTGACCAGGAGGAGGCTCGTCTGGGATCCTTCATGGGACCAGCATCCCAGACTTTCTGCCACTGGCATGGAGTTACTCTGGGCGGAGTTGCCTGGCCAGCCCAAGCTACTCTTCCCACCGGCTGAGGGCGCCATGGCGGGGAGGGGAGTTTTGACATGTGGATTTAGATCCCAGTTCTGCCACTTACCCGGTGAACGGGGTCGATGCCCCCTTGTCCCAGCAGTTAGGGTTGGGTGCTGTTTGTGTTGTGTGTAAAGTATCTGATGCAGATCAGATTCTCAGAGGAACTGCAGTGGGCTTGGGTCCTCTCCCTTTGACAGATGAGAAAACAGCCTCTGAAGTCATGTGACTTGTCCAAGCGATACCTGAGCAGGAGCTGGGATCCGAACCCAGGGGGACCCTGAGAACCCATTCTTTGTCATGATCTTTGTTGCCCTGTCAGCAGGAATCGAATGTCAGAACATCTCTCCAACTCTCCCCATCAAGAACTCCACACCTGTCCCCCTGTGAGCTTTAAGCATTAGGGAAATCTTTATATTACGTGCAGCATTCTGTATGGTTTTTCTTCTGGAGGAATACAGATTTTAGTTTTTGTCAGATTATAATTTTGCCTCAACCCCGCATTTAAAGACCAGTCTGGAAGCTGAGGGGGAACTGCACCCGGCATCGCCCTTGAGGGTCAGGACAGTGTGGTCAGCTGGCCCGGAGCGGCTGCCACAGCGCCCCTGGGTGACCTTCCCTGCTCCGCCTGCCCCATTCCTGCTGCCCGAGGCGGGGTTGGGGACCACTGGACACTTGCTCTCTGGCCTCATTGGCTGTCCAGGGTACCTCAGTACCTTCCTGAAGCAAGGAGAGAAGTGGGGTTTAGGCCTGCAAGTCCCCGTCTGATGACCTCCATCTGAGCTGTCATGGGCTGGAGCGGGCCCTAGATAACAGGCCACTGAGTCTGTTACACTTGGAGATTCTTGAGTCTTTCTAGGACTTTCCCTTAACATGTAAGTCCCCTTTCTCTGAGTTTTGTATTTTACTTTTTAAAATTCTCACCCAATGATATTTTTCCATTTACCTTCAGATAGAGTGGGAGGGAGGGGGAGAGAGAGAGAGAAACACTGATGTGAGAGAGACATTGACTGGTTGCCTCCTGCATGACCCCGACCAGGGCCAGTGACTGAACCGCAACTGAGGTACGTGCCTTTGACTAGAATCGAACTCATGACTCTCTGGTCCTTGGGCCGACGCTCCAACCACTGAGCCGAACCAGCCAGGACTGTATTTTACTTTTTATTCCGGTTCATCTGTGTCTATCTTAGGCTTCAGTAAGTTTCAGAGTAAATGGGTTAGATGAATGACTTGGACGGCACACAGGCTGGGCTGTTTCCCACACCCAGGTCCTTCTGTGGGCCAGTCTCGGGCTCTGCGGACTCCTTGCCATTCCGTCCCCTGCGGCTTGGAGGTGCAGGCCTATAGGAAGGAATGTGGGGAGGTGGGGGCGTTGACCGAGTAGCCCTTGGTGCCCAGGCCTGGGCCAGGCTCACCACAGGCTCTCTTCCTGCTCATGCAGTAACGGTCATCTGCGCAGCACCCGGTGTGGACGGCGCCTGGTGGCGAGCCCAGGTGGTGGCCTCCTACGAGGAGACGAACGAAGTCGAGATTCGCTACGTGGACTATGGCGGATATAAGAGAGTGAACGTAGACGTGCTCCGGCAGATCCGGTGAGTCGGCCCTCACAGGCATGCACCTGCTCCGGGGCTGGCAGCTCCTGCTCTGCCGCAGCAGCGCCTGACGTCAGCACGCGGCATTGCTCGCCTCGGCCAAGCTGCTCCAGAGAGGCCTGTCTTTTTTTAAAAAATGTTTTTATTGATTTTTTAGAGAGAGGAAGGGAGAGAGAAAGAAACATCGATGTGAGAGAGAAACATCGATCGGCCGCCTCCTGCACGCCCCCCACTGGGGATCTGGCCTGCAGCCTGGGCATGTGCCCTGACTGGGAATTGAACTGGGACCTCTCAGTCGGTGGGACGACGCTCAGTCCATTGAGCCCAACCGGCTGGGCGAGAAAGGCCTGTCTTATGGAAGAATCCCTGAGTGTTACGTGGCAAAAGCAAAGCAGGCTTTTTTAGGAGTGTGATACCAGGAAACCCTCTGAAGTCAGGCTTGCAGCAGAGGTGTGTGGGGTGGAGGCCCGCTGCCCGTCGTGGGTCTCACTGCTCTGCTTCATCCTGGGTGCTGGGGTCATGGCACTAACAAGGTAAATGCCAGCCTGGAATGCAGGCGGCCTTCAAGGCCATGGTCAGTGTGTTCCTTTCTTGTTTTTCTAGGTCTGACTTTGTGACCCTGCCATTCCAGGGAGCAGAAGTCCTTCTGGACAGCGTGATGCCCCTGTCAGGTAACAGGTGGGGCTTCTGGCTGGCTGGCGGGGGCAGGTGTTGAGAGCAGGTCTTGCTCTGAGAGCCTCGTTTTCACCTGGAGGGCTTATGCTTCCACGGATTGCTGCACTGTCGGTTTCTGACTGATGGACAACTTTGGGCTGAGGCCTGAGAACTTGCATTTCTAAGTTCTTAGGTGAGGCTAATGGTGCTGGTCCATGGACCACCCTTCCAAGCCCACTGCTCTAGACTTTACCCAAGCCTCCAACTTAGAGAGGCTTCTGCCATGGGTGCCTTCCAGAACACAGTCCAGACCAGAGTCTTAGCACCTGAGGTCCAGGGCAGGCACCGAGGCCACAGGCACTGCCCAGCTGGGCCTCAGCCTCTGGGGGCACTGGGGGGCACGCGAACACGGATCTGTCCTCCAGGGTGTCTTAGTCTGATCACGGTGCCTGGAGGAAGGGGACTGGCAGTGTGATCCTGGGCAAGTTGCTTAGCCTCGATCCCCCTCCTTGGAAAATGGGGTAGTACCTGTTTTTCAGGGTGGCCAAAGGGGTACATGAGCCTAGAAACAGATGTGGACACTGGTCAAGTAGCAGCTACTTATGACCAGGAGTTTTACATTTGCAGGTACTAGTCGGTTGATTCCATGCTCCTCCCTCCCGGGTCGCCCTGTCTGATCTTGTCCTTGCCTAAAGCAGTGACAAGCTTGAGGAGCAGTGTAGTCTGGCTGCAGTCTTGTTGGCTAGAATGCTGGGCAGGGTCTTCATTTTGTTTTTCTTTACTGCTCTTGCCCAACCTGCCTCTCCATTTCTGTCCATCTCAACAGTCTATCCCGGCCCAGCTGAAACGCTCCCTCCTCCATAAGATGTTCCTAGACCTTCGTAAACCTGCCTCTTGCATCCTTCCCATCTCTTGCCTTGGGTGTGTTCTTGTATGTAACCTTTATGATCTGACGCAGAAAGCTACCTCAGTGCCCCGCCTGCTAGTCCATAGTTACTGCCCGCATCGGGCTCTGTGGCCACTGCCGGGGTTTAAATTCCACCTGCACCATTCTGGGAGCTGGTTGACCTTTGGCTGTCAACCTTTGTCTTCCGTGTTCTCACCTGTAAAGTGGGGACAACACCTGCCATCTTACAGGGTGTTATGATTCAGTGGAAGATGTTTTCAGTGTGCTCAGCCCAGTCAGCCCCCAGGTAGGTGGTAGTGGTGTTTCCATTGAAGGCAGAGGTTCGGTCTGTCTGGTCCTCTGTCCCCCTGTGGGTAGCACATAGCAGGGACCCTGAGTGTCCTGACATAGGTGACTCTCCCAGGTGAAGTTCTCAGGCCCTGTGGCAGCATCTGAGGCCTTGTACTTGGAGCGCACCTGGAGGCTGTGTGCGTGACAAAAGCACTTCCCTGAGAGTCTAAATGCTGCTTTTCCTTCTCCTAAGACGACGAGCACTTCTCACCTGAGGCGGATGCAGCTGTGAGCGAGATGACGGGAAACACAGCGTTGCTGGCTCAGGTGCGGCAGGTGGGGGCAGGGCTGGGGGTGGGGCCAGTGCCTCTGGGCCTCGGGAAGCACCTGGGCTTCCTGGGAGCTGACCTTCCAATGCCAGCCTTCCTGTGGCTCCTGCCTTGGGTTGGCCAGCAGTCTTTACCGAGAGGTGCATGGGGTCACGTTTAAACAGGCTTGGTTTTTTGTTTGTTTGTTTTCAGGTGACAAATTACAGTCCGACTGGCATTCCCCTGATTCAGCTCTGGAGTGTGGTTGGAGATGAAGTAAGTGCTGTCCTTTTCCCTCTGAGTTGCCAGCAGTGATGATCGACGTGGTGCTGACCAAGGATGTAACTACAGACCCGGGTCCCCCAGGGACAGTTAGTCGTGTCTGGAGACTTTGTGGTTGACACATTGGGGAGGGGGTAGAAGGCAGGGATGCTGCCACACATTCCATAGTGCTCAGGACAGCTCCCATGACAGCCATCTGGCCCGGTGTCGGGGGCCTTCCGGGGCCTTCTGTCCGGGGGTTTCCTCTCCTCCATGTCATGTGTAAAGCTTAGATGGCTCAGTGCGCTCAAGAGCCCGTCCTCGAGCCAGGAGAGCGCGGAGCTAAACGCCCTACGCTCCTGTTGACCCAGAAAGCGAGTCACACCCCCAATGCCATTACTGGTGTTCCTGCTGCCTGCGTAGCTGCGCGGGGCTGGACAAGGGACACTGCACACTGGCCAAGAATGCCCCTGGGGCCTGCAGCAGAGCTCTCAAGGGAACTTTCTTTTCTAGGTGGTGTTGATAAACCGGTCGCTGGTGGAGCGAGGACTTGCTCAGTGGGTAGACAGCTACTACTCAAGCCTCTGACCCCGGCCCCCGCAGCCCTCGAGTCTCTTTTGCACTGTTGAAACTGGGTTTGGCACTCAAAGCAAAGACTTTACGTCACAATAACAAATGTTGTCTTCCTCAGAAAGTCTTTTTTTCGTATGGTAGTCGTGTTGAGGAGGTTTCGTCTCTGAGACAAGGAAGGAGCAGTGGGTTCTTTTTAAAGCCATAGGATGGTGTTGAACAAGCCAGGCGGGTTAACCTGTTCTAAGCTGTAAAAACACATGGAAGGAAAACTCTCGACCAAGTTGTCCTGTTCCCCTCCGCTCCATTCCTCTCTTCCTTCCCTGCTCCTCCCCTCAGACCAGCCAACTGGAGCAGACAGGCCAAGGGATGTGTTGCTTGTTTGAAAGGGTTTCTTATGCTTCACAGTCTTTCTTCAGGGAGCAAGACATGAACTAATTGGTATTGATTACCTGTACAGCTGACATAAATGGATTTATGATGTTTCACCAGTTTTTATGAACTTCACCTAGATGTCTAAGGGGCAGACTTTTTAATACATATGTAGATACAAAGCAGCCGTTCCTCTCTGGCCTTGTCCGTGGGAGGAGGGGAGTGTTTGTTATCTGTCCCGGCCTGGTTGTGGTTTGTAACCATTTTCTATTTGTGCAAGCTCTGTAAATATATGTTTAAAAAAATGTAATATTTTATACAAGATACACTGGAGAACAAAGGGAACTCAAGATTTTTCCACACCCTATGTCATCCTTGAGCAGAAGTTACTTCCGCAGCATCCAGCTGCCCAGCAGCGCCTCCTGCTGGGGCTCCTGTGCCGTCTGCATACTGAACAGGGTGACGCTATGATACATATGTGATCCGGGGATTTTTCTGTACAAATTTGTTACCAAAAAAAAAAAAAAAAAAAAAAGCTCATTGAATTACCTTGCAGTGGTTGTGTTTGATTCTTTTTTAAACTGGCTCCCACGCTGTGCGACTTTAAATAAGGAACTTAAGCTTATATAAATTTGGAATTGTATACACTAGAGCTTTGAGATCATTTTTTTCCACGGTAAAAAGGGCTGGGGAGTAAAGCAGTGGGTGTGGTGTGTGGTTGGTGTGGTGTGGGTGGTGTGGTGGGTGTAGTTGGTGTGGTGTGGTTGGTGTGGTGTGGTTGGTGTAGTGTGGTGTGGGTGGTGTGGTGGGTGTAGTTGGTGTGGGTGGTGTGGTGTGGTGTGGTGTGGTTGGTGTGTGTGGTGTAGTGTGGTGTGGTGGGTGTAGTGTGGTGTGTGTGTGTGGTGTGGTGTGGGTGTAGTGTGGTGTGGGTGTGTGGTTGGTGTGTATGGTGTGGTGGGTGTGGTGTGGTTGGTGTGTGTGGTATAGTGTGGTGTGGTGGGTGTGTGTGGTTGGTATGTGTGGTATGGTGGGTGTAGTGTGGTGTGGTGGGTGTGTGTGGTTGGTGTGTGTGGTTGGTATGTGTGGTGTGGTGTGGTGTGGTGGGTATGTGTGGTTGGTGTGTGGTGTGGTTGGTGTGTGTGGTGTAGTGTGGTGTGGTGGGTATGTGTGGTTGGTGTGTGTGGTTTGTATGTGTGGTGTAGTGTGGTGTGGTGGATGTAGTGTGGTGTGGTTGGTGTAGTGTGGTGTGGTTGGTGTGTGTGGTGTAGTGTGGTGTGGTGGGTATGTGTGGTTGGTGTGTGTGGTTTGTATGTGTGGTGTGGTGGGTATGTGTGGTTGGTGTGTGTGGTGTGGTTGGTGTGTGTGGTGTAGTGTGGTGTGGTGTGTGTGTGGTGTAGTGTGGTGTGGTGTGGTGTGTGTGTGGTGTAGTGTGGTGTGGTGGGTGTGTGTGGTTGGTATGTGTGGTGTGGTGGGTGTGGTGTGGTTGGTGTGTGTGGTGTAGTGTGTTGTGGTGGGTGTGGTGTGGAGTGCTGGAGGGCCATGATTCTTTGAAGCAGTTTAGCCAAAATTTCCTTTGGGCCTTTCCCCTCCAGCCAGTGTCCTCTGGCTTCCCCATCGAGTGTCCCAGACAGCCAGGCTTGAGTTTAAAGCACTGGTTTCCAGAGTTATTGGTTATGCACGTTAATAGAGATAAGTTGTTACCACTGTGGTAAGAATGATACAGACTATGCAGACATTTACATGGTGGGAGACAATAAATGTTGACTTACCAGTTCCTCTTCAAGGCAGGCTCAGGCCCTTGGTCCAGGCAGGCCTCTGGGGGTCTCTAGAGAGCTGAGAACCCAAGGGCCCTTCACAGAGCAGGGATGCTCCACAGAGCTGCAGGTAACCGCAGTTGAAGCCCCTGTTCCTCATCTGTGGGAACAGATGGTGAAGGGTGCCAGCCTCGTGGGGCGGCGGAGTGAGATCGCGGACCCTGCCTGCCTGTGCAGTCAGCTGCTGGAGCCCAGCCCAGTGGGGAGCGGGTGTGACGGGCCCGGTGTCGCAGCCAGGCCTCGGCTTCTGTGCTGCCCTCGTCGCTGCAGCGGGGAGCGTATAGGAGCCTTCACCGAGCCCAGGGAGAGCTCGCAAAGCCTGGTGTGCAGATTTGGGCTTTGTCTTTCACTGGGGGGTTTTAACAGGGAACCACACAGTCTTAGTGCAGGGAGGAGGTTGGGGAGGTGGAGCAGCAGAGACCAAAGCCAGGATGGTCCAGACAGACGGGGGCTTCCTCTGGGATGGCCCATTGAACAACTGGAGGCTGTGAAGGCTCATACTCTGAATAAATGCTTCTCCGCTTGCGGGCTTGATTAATTTCTAGGGTTCTGAAAAAGTTGATTTTAATCACTTTGCCAGTAATCTTGTTGCTTCTACAGAGGTGCAGATGTATAGAGGTCTAGCTCCACCATTCTGGCAAGCACATTTTAGACTTGTTCTTTGAATCAAATACCTGGGCGCCATCCAGGGGACAGCGTAAGTGTGAGTTTGAAAACTCCCGAGAAGCCCTGGCCGGTTTGGCTCAGTGGTTAGAGCATCGGCCCATGGACTGGAGAGTCCCAGGTTCAGTTCCCACTAAGGGCACGTACCTCAGTTGTAGTTTGTCCTCAGCCCTGGTTGGGGTCATGTGGGTGGCAAGCACTCAATGTGTCTCTCTCACATTGATGTTTCTCTCTCTCTTCCTCCCTCTCTCCCTCCCACTCTATCAGAAGAAAAATGCAAAAATGTCCTCAGGTGAGGATTAAAAAAAAAAAAAAACCTCCCAAGAAAAGCCAGTGCCAGAGAGGTTTGGCCATCCACCCAAGGTGCAGGAGAAAGGCGGGGTGGTGGTCAAAGGAGGCTGAGTTTCCAGCCTGGTCTCACTCCAGGTGTTCGAGTCTGCGACCTCCGCTCTGGTCCTTGGGTCCTGCCAGCTATGGAAGGGGTGGCGGATCCCAGTAGGATCCACGGAGGCTGGGTTCTGGGGTTCTGGTACATCTCTGCAGCCTCAGTCATGCCACTCAGAGGTATCATGCACCGTCACAGGCACAGGACGAGACAGTCGGTAGCCTGAGTCATGGAGTGCTCACTGTGTGGACACTGCTGTTTCTCAGACGACCCAGTGACACAGGGACTGTCCTGGAGGTGTAGAAGGTGTTGACTCTCAGAAAGGGGGTTCGGAAGGGCAGAACTGAGACTCAAAGCCAGGTGTCGCCTACCTTCTGGCTTCTCTTCACCCTGAAGCTTCGAAAAGGGCGGGGCCTTGTTCCTACCAGGTAAATGCACTGTGGTTCAGTGATCGGCCTGCAGGAAAGGGCACATCTGTACCCTGCGCTGATCCGAAAGGCAGACGTGGTCTCCGCTGGAAATGGGGTAAAGGACGGGCTGGAGCCCAGAATCTGGTCTGTCTCTAGACCAACAGAATGACCCATATATGAGCCACAAGTGTAATTTAAATTTTTCTAGGAGCCACAAGACAAAGAAAAAAGAAACAGGTGAAATTAATAATAGTTTGACCCAGTATCTCATTTCAATATGTAATGGACATTAAAAATATTGAGCCCTGGACGGTTAGAGCATCGGCGTGCGGTCCAGAGAGACCCGGGTTCGGTTCCTGCTAAGGTCGCGTACCTCGGTTGCAGTCTGTCCCTGGCCCTGGTTGGTCATGCGGGTGTCAACCACTCGCATGCGGGTGGCAACCCTTTCACGTTGATGTTTCTCTCTCTCTCTCTGTTCCTCTCTCTCCCTCCCACTCTACCTGAACAAAAAATGGAAAAATGTCCTCGGGTGAGGATTAAAAATATATATTGAGTTATTGCCCTGGCCAGTTTGGCTCAGTGGTTAGAGTATTGGCCCATGGACCAAAGAGTCGTGGGTTTGATTCAGGTCAAGGGCATGTACCTCGGTTGTGGCTTGGTCCCCAGCCCTTGGCCCTGATTGGGTCATGTGGGAGGCAACCAATCAATGTGTCTCTCTCACATGGACGTTTCTCCCTCTGTCTCTCTGTTTCTCTTCCTCCCTCCCACTCTATCTGAAGATAAATGGAAAAATATTTATTTATTTATTTATTTCTGAGCCAAACCACCCAGGGCTCTGGTGAGGATTAAAAAAAAAAAAAGAGTTATTTTACTCCGTCTTTGAAATCGGTGTGCGTATGTCCACCTCCAGCCTGTCCAGACCACCCACAGCTCAGGTGCTCAGTAGCCACGGGAGACCCAAGACGGCCGTCCTGCACAGGAGCAGGGAGTCCCTTGATCGCCCGTGCACACGACGGACAGCCTTCTGTACGTCTTCCTTCCCTTCTGGGGAAGTGCTGGCTTCTTTTGTACATTTTTCCAGATGAATTTTAGAATGATTTGGGGGAGGGGATCATGGTAAATGTTCTGACAATTGAAAAGAATGCATGTTGTTGGTTTGGTATATAAAGTTTTATATAATCTGTGAAATCAGGCTTGTGAATTATTCACATTTATTGTGTTTTGGCTTCTCCCTTTACCCTCTTTTTTTTTTTTTTTGCTTCTACTCTCTGTTCATTTCTAAGAAAAGCACATTAAATGAATCTGCTATTGTCATGTTTTCTGGGTTCTCTGAACAGCTGTTTTTCTAAGTTTCAGTTATGTTGCTTAGTTAGAAAAGTATTTCCTCCTCAACGTTAAAATTGCTTTGGTATCTTGTGTGGTGCTTTGTGTTTTGAATTTTGTATCTTTTTCCTCTGTCACTTCAGGTGAGTGGCTTATAAACACATTGCCAGAATTATTATTATTATTATTTTTTATCCTCACCCAAGGACATTTTTTCCACTTTTTGTTCAGATACAGTAGGAGGGAGGGAGGGAGGGAGGGAAAGAGAGAGAGAGAGAGAGAAACATCAACGTGAAAGGGACACATTGAGTGGTCACCACCTGCATGATCCAACCAGGGCCCGGGACAAACTGCAACCGAGGTACGCGCCCTTAGCGGGAACCGAACCCGGGTCTCTCTCGACCACAGGCCGACGCTCTAACCGCTGAGCCAAACCAGCCAGGGCCAGAATTATTTTTAAGTGACATCTATGCAGTCCATAGGTGAGTTTAACTTGTTAATTGTGATCACAGTTGCAATATTATTTGCCATGTAGTTCATTTTCCTATTATTTTCAAATTGGCTTTTGCAATTCTTTTCTCATAGGTGCTTGATTAGAATCCCCCCTCTAGTAAATTTAGCAGTCCCTCTCTCATTTCTAGGTTGTCGGTGGGTATCTGTTATCCACTGATAACTCTCACTTATATTTCTCAATATGACATATTTAAGGTGTGCTTTTCCCCCTGAACATGAAGAAACTGAGCGGACTCTCAGACTTCTGCCCCTCCTCCTACAGGTGCGCCCCTCACACATTCTCTCCCTCCTGGGTTCTGCTGGAGCATCTAGAACAGAATTTCAGACTTTTCTCACACACCTCCCTCCAGGATCTTTTAATGGTGATGTTGAACTTGA